CACTGAATGCTCTCAAGAATTCGTTGGACAAACATTATGATGATAGTCCACACATATTTCCGCAAAATTTCTTACTCATGTCAAAATTTTATGACAGGTTCATGTAGCTGAGTCAATCCTCCTTATAAGTTAATATTTTAGAATTAAGCGATTACTTTCATGATTGTGTGTGTTTGTATAACTCTAGTACAAAGAGTTTATAAGCTTCTAGCTTCTACTCTACTTAGTTTATAAATGAATGAATGAATAAAAAATTCTGATTTTGATGAAAATTACCCCTCAACTTTGGCGCGCCTTAGAGCCAAAACTATTGATCGGAGACAAAAAGTACAAACACCATAGTTGTACACAATTTAGTTCTCTACATCTTTCAATCATACATTTTTTCAATAGCACCTACCCCAACGGTGCTATTCATCCGCACACCGCTAAAGCGGCAACCCCACGAGGTCGCAAACTCAGGTGGACTATCAAGGAACCTATCTCTACTATCCCACAAAATTTAATTTTTTCTCGACCTTTTGCGAATGAAAATCCCGCATGTAGCCGAGCACACAATTTCCTGCGCAGCGCACTGTTCACTGAGAAAAAATGTGCTATTAGAGTTTCTGTTGAGATATTTCTTGCTACCATTACAAGAAAACATATTACCGTTATTAATTTCCGAATAGAAGCATCACCTTGAAATCCTATTATAGCAATAACGACTTTGCTGACAGTGAATTTCCTGCCACAGGAAGGTTTAACCGCTGTCGCTATATCAGGCAGCCACTCTGGGACAGCATTATTTTTTTTACAATTGTATAGCTGCACTACTACTAGTGAGATATATGCTTGTGGCTGCGAGGTTCATCGCATAGAACTGCACTCACTACCAATAATACAACTGTCAGTCTACCACGAAAATTATATTTGACGAACCTACTTGGGGTTATTTAGCGCCTACTTATCGATATTCGATATTTTGCTGATTTGTCTCCCTCTATATGAGCATTTGTCAGACATCTTGTTTGATCAATCATTCACAGTTGGGCTCTTGATGCAAACCCATGTACAGGACGACAATCTCAATGACACGACAGTTACGAATACTTCCTCTCTTGAATTCAATTCATTATTTGAAATCTGAATCTGAATTCAAATATAAAATGGAAACATTTTTAAACGAATAAAAAAATCTTCTGTGTCCCTTTCAGTGTTTTCGTAGATCTGAGTGCTTCAGTTATTACCCAGGATTGATGGAATGATAAAGGTGAGTTTTTTCGAGGTATTTCGACTGAAATTAAAATATTTCACATTGAACATCTCCTTCTTTTTGGTACCATGAAACTTATTTGAAATTCTCGAATATGTTCCAGAGCTTCTATAGAATGTGGTCTGAAAACTTATTGTGAGCAAAAATGTTAAGGTTATGAAATTATTTGAATGATTTTACTGGTAACATTTTGTTTTCCTGTACTTGCCTATAGTTTTCGAAATACAACGGTTTCAGAAAGTTTCAGAAAAATTATTTTCTCCATTGATTACTCAAAAACCTTTTCTTTCCTGAGGGTGCATGAATCAATTGATCTATTGAATTTCAAAGATCATTTGTCCGAAATCTTCTTTAGGAATCAATAAATTGCTATTCATACCAAACATCAGGGTGGAAATAATGGGAAGTGAAATCGGATATCAGTCAAAATTTCACCTTTCTTGATGACAACAATCCTGGAAAATAACTGAATGACTACAGCAAGAAGGTCATGCAACTATATGATCACCCATCAAGGAAAGCAAAGTTCCCTACCTACGATTATAACATTGCCCTACTCCCATTATTAGATGCACTCACTAGCGGTAGCAAAGTCAGATACCTACTACAGAAACATGGTCTAATAGCAATATACAGATGCACTGGCTAGTGGCAGAAAGGTTCTATAATCAGCAATGTCGACTTTATAATCACAGGTGATAAATCGCTTGTCCCCTATGCTATCAGAGTTTCTTGCTGGGGAATTCGCTTTCTGACTATGGTTAGTAGGAATATTCCTCAGTGTTGTATCGACTGCTGTCGACGTATAATTTTTTCCTGATGTTTCCAATTATCAACAGCTTGCATAACAAATTTAACATTTTGTAAAACAGTTTCACCAACCATATTTTTTTATGACTTTGACGCACTGCTGATGATCCCCATTACGATATCGTGAAGGTTGACGGTATCTACATCATTTCTCAGTTGATTATCTATTCAGAAACCAATTTTTAGATTTTAGAAAACTGTTGCGACATACATGTTTTTTAACAACTTTGATGCCACCCCTGCGCAAATCAAACTGGCCGTTACCACCGATACAACAAGGCATGCATGCTCCGTGGGTGACGTCACTTAGTGAGGCCTAGCCAGCGGCTCGAAACGACAAGCGCTTATAGCGCTATAAGGCGACCGCGTATTTCGATTTTAGTTTTAGATCATCATTGAGCCGATTTTGCTGTTTTTTGAAGGGCTTTTGGTTAAAAAAGGATGCCAGTCGTCAACTGAGCCCTTCTTCGCACCCCATTCGATTTTATTATGGAAAAACGAAGTTTTAAAGCAAAAACCAGGATAAAACACAAATATCCACCTACAGCAACCCATTCGAATTAAATATATTGGCAAAAATTGTCCCGCAGAACATAAACTTATCGTGAGATTGATCGAAAGAAAATTGTGGAAAATGTATTTTATTTTGATTGACATGCCGTTTGTTACAATTACCTATATTTATCTCGGAGAATTCCTATTACCTGAAAAAATAACCAGTGAGTGTTTTCAATTTTCTATTGTTGGATTTTTCACCCAAGTGGATCGTTACACTTGAAACCGTAATTTTTAAGGGTAAAACTGCATTTATCATGCGATGAATTTTTTTTTGAAATTTTTTTTCGGTACTCACGTATTTTTGTCTGATAAACCGAATTTTATAATGAAAATGTGAACAAACCACTATTTATTGAGATATTTCAAGAAACAGTTCGAAATTTCGCCTTCTTTCTCTCCTTGTGTTGGGGGCATTTGAAGCTACTTGCTCTTATTTTGTCATTGGACACTTTATATACTCATGATGTACTTTGATGGCACATTTTTATAAAGAAAATTCAACAGGAAATATGATTTTTATGGCGAGTTTTTCATATTTAGTGAACAAGCATTCCAGATGACGACCATTTAATCAATAGTCAATCAAAATACGAGATGTCAAATGTCAATAGATTGCTTTCGGATGACATTACACACGCAATTATTTTTAATGATATTCTTCCTTCTTTTCACTAAATATGGATTAATCTCAAGAAAATCATATTTATAGTTGAATTATATATAAATTGTCCAATATGATGAAAAAAGAAGGGAAATTTGTTCTAAATGCCATCCAGAAGATAGGTGAAAAAGAAGGTGAAATTTGGAACTTTTTAGTCAAATATCTTCATCATAAATATCATGATGAATGCAGTTTTACCTTTTGAAGTAGAGAGTTTGTAGTTCATGTTAATATGATAGTTGCAATTTGATCATTGGAATGAATTCTGTATTCATTGCCACGAGGCAAATGACCGTTTTCAGAAAGAAATTGGAGGATGAGAATCAAAAATGCCCGTTTATTATGAACATTCAAGAAAATTTCCTCGAATTCGGAGATGATTTTGTTGACTATAATATACGAATACAAAACTAACTGCACAATCAAAGCTTTTCTATTTTTCCTCTACTTATACTTTTTATGAGAGAGTAATTGTCTTCTATTATCAATTCATCATTATAAATTAAGCTCTGTTTACTACTGAACTTAGATGGAGTGAAATCCCCGCGGTGAATTGCATATACCCACATTTTCGATAACTCCTCGTCCAACGGGAAACTAAAAGCATGAACTTTTGAACCACCCACATAATTCCCCCGACAAAAGGGAACACAACACTTGAAAGGCATTGTTATTTCGCCGATCACAACACAAAATATTTCACAAAACAGTAATTTTTCCGCCAATTATTTTGATGAATAAACAACAAAAGAATTCGGGACCGTTTCAAAAACATACGTGAATCACCGATGAATTAACACGAACTGACGCGTTAGTCGACAAGCGATAAAATAAAACACTGGCCTCTCTTGGTGACGTCACGAGCTCTCTACGTCAGAGTCTGCTGGCCTTGTTGTATCGGTGGTAACGAACTGGCTAACTGAGGGCAGGCTATTGTCATACACCCTATATAATACATAATATCGAAATTCCAGCCTTTATAAAACTGTTTTGCTACTCACCTCTCGGTATAAATGTGGCACAACTCTATAGGACTATCCTACCCATTTTTTCTTCGTTTAGAAACCGTCATCAGAAAATAGACCACTGGATTATTACTTACGTTTTATTTGTTACATTCTAGTAGCGGTGTTGGGAACAGAATGACGTTTACAAATAGAACGATGAACTTCATGACCTTGCATGAAAGAATTCACATAAGATGTTATATTTATATATTGGGGCTCAAAATAATTTCAAAATCATAATACAAGAGTAGTTAAGAGTCTGGAAAATCAATCAACGGATATTTGGAGGATTGATTGTGGTGATTGGAGAAACTCCGAGACTTCTCCGAGACCGGCAATTAATCGTTGAGTAATGCCAAGCCAAGGTTGGTTTAGTTCATATAACCAGTATATCACCTGACGAAGCTACTTTGTTATCGAAACATGTTGTGTGTTCAAGAACTTTGTGGAAGTCTTATCGTTTGTGAAGTTTTTACGTTCGCCATGGATTTCCATCAAGTAACGGCCGAGTCAATTCAAAATCTTACATAATGTCAACAGTCATTCCACGTCATTCATTGTAGTGAGATGGAATGAAAAGTATCAACTGGAATCGGAAAAGTTGCGGATGAAACGACACATCAAAGTAATTTCGGTGGCAGAATCGGATAAATAGAACGCTCCTAATGAGTATCATGAATATGAGTGGAAGAAAGTTACATAAACTTACTATTTCCAGAGACAAAGACTTCCAGCTCCACCAGTTGTCATGAATATTTCCCGATTTTGGGGTAGATGTTTCACACTCCAGACTGTTGAATCGTGCGCTTTCTCCACTAAATGTGCAAAACCCTTTTTATGATGCTGCGTTCTTACGTCGAAGCAATATATTTTAGATTCTAATGTTGTGGAAACCAGTTTATTCATCGAAATGGTCTTGCGGTCGAACTGCAGGCTCACCACCTTGAAGATGTTATAAAATTAAGTACACATTGTGCAGATTATAGGCAATGAGAAGCAATTGTCGATTGAATCATCTGAAGATTGATACTTATTCATTTGGAAGGCAACTGTGAAGCATAATATTTTGAAATCAAGATGTTTCAACATAAAACAACTACCCAATTGATCTATGACGCTGGATATGGATAAAATTGTTATTGTCATGTAGTGTGTGTTCAGAGCTGGAAAAAAATATCGATACGTCGATAAATATAAGATCGATATATAGAATAACGATAATATTCAATTTCTTAAATATCGGTATACATACTGATATATCGATACCTATCGATATAACGATAAACATCGATAACTATCGATGTATAGATTAATAAATTATGTACTCATTCAAAATTTCATGAGCATTATTATTCCAATCAAGATGTACATTCGTACTTGCAGAAGGTCCGGCCATTCTGAATTTTTTATGTTGTTAGGATCTGAACCAATATAAAAAAAAACAGATTTGCAATTTCTAGTGCTGTGCGAGCGACGGTATACCCAAAAAACCATGAAATTTTTGGACTTAATTCAGTTTTCGCTCAATATCTCAGAAACGAAAGGGCTTGACCGCTACAGTCACCCTATAAACTTTTGGAGATAACTAAATTTTCTACAATTCGAGGTCAAGGCGAGCTCCACACTGCTATTGGTTCCCAATATACAGTTCTTCGAAAATGGGCAATTCTTTCGAGAAAGTGGAATTTCTTCAAAATGGTCACCTATTCTAAAATACACTTCCCACGTCAAATAATATATGAAATGAAGTTGTAGTAAATTTAATTATCTTTCATTTGAGACTAGACTAGTATCTGTAGGCTTAGCGGTTCTCTCAAAAATGGCTGATAACCAAAAACAGTCTACCTTCAGAACACGAAGAGCGAAGCTGATTTCTGTCATTCCTCCACACAAACTCCTACAACCACCAGGACTCCCAGCGATTACCAGAGACGGTGCTATTCACCCACTCATTCACCGGGTGCGATACTACCTCAGCGCCGTTTGGACAGGGGAAGACCAAATTCACTACACTCCTGAGGAAGAGTGAACCACTTGCTGAGCACGTGGAAGTCTTTCTTCGGCCAGTCTCCACCCTACAAGCCGTGAGAGAAGCAGGTATTGAATGTTTCGTGGCTCTATATAAGGGTGATATCGCGATGGATACTTTGGATTTCCTGAGGTATAAGACGTTTGTTACTTCAACGAGCATAAACCTCGTTCGATTGCCACCGACGGAAGATGCCGCAGGCCACCATGCAGCAAGGTGCTACCTTCAAGTGCAGAAGTGTCGGAGAGTAAACTTGAGTCCTACAGATTGGGGGTGGAAGATGTCTTCTCAGGGACTCACCCCCATCTTCACCACCATGGATCCCGCACCTCTTGCTCTTCTGCGAAAGATCTCATGTAAATGCAAGAAAGGGTGCCTTGGGAGCTGTTCTTGCAGAAAGGCAGGGGGGCTCCACTGCTCTGTCCTCTCCCAGTCATGCGGTGGCAAATTGTACACCAATGTCCCGGATGTAGAGCTAAAATGCTCGGATGATGAAGATGACATGACTACCGATTGGGCACATCTCTCCATCAAATATAAAAAGAAAGTCGTGATTTGGCTACCAGACACAATAACTACATGTTTTATATAAGTTTTATTCGATGTTTACGTTGATGTAATTTGTCCTTATAGTAGGTACCATGATATTTGTGCAAGCATTTCAGTATGTAGGTATATACAAAACAAGGCAGCCTAAAACTTGCAATTATCAAACCACTGTATAAAAAAGGTGATCCTTCACTACTGGAAAACCATCGTCCTATAAGTTTATTGCCATCTTTCTCAAAAATATTTGAAATATCTATGTGTACTAGGCTCCTGAGCTTTTTTTATGCTGAAAAGTTGTTAAGTCACTCACAGCATGGATACCTGAAGGGCAAATCAATAGAAACAGCTGTTTATGACTTCATAGAAAAGATAGTTCTGGGATATGAAAACAAATACTTGTCAATGGGTATATTTTTGGACTTATCAAAGGCATTTGATAGCATTGATCATGTTATTATGTTGGAAAAATTGGAACGGTATGGCATTAGAGGCCCAGCACTTAGCTGGATAAGATCATACCTCTCGGAACGAGTCCAAAAAGTATTGATAGAGAGGAACGGAAAGAAGTACTTTTCCGATGAAGGTCAGTTGTCGGTGGGAGTACCCCAAGGAAGTGTAATGGGTCCGTTATTATTCATCTTTTATATTAATGACTTGGCATCAGAAATTTTCAACGAAAAAACACATCTAGTAAATTATGACGATGACACAAACATACTAGCGGTAGGATCTTCATTTCAAGAAATGTTAGATATATCAAACGACAGCCTAAAAAAGGCTCAGGACTGGCTTACTAGAAATCAGTTAATTTTAAACAAACAAAAAACGTGTGTAAACAAATACCGCAGGACATACAGCTTCAGACACAAAATATAAAATTAGAACATAACACAAAGTTCTTAGGAATTCACATTGATCAAAATCTGAACTGGGAGACTCATATTAATGAACTTTGTAACAAACTAAGCTCGGTATGTTACTCTTTCAGAGTGACAGCTAAATATTTAGAAAGTAACTCTTTGCGAACAGTATATTTTTCGAACTTTCACTCTCTGTTGCGTTTTGGCATCATCTTCTGGGGTGGAAGCAGTGAAGCACAACGAGTTTTCGTAGTACAGAAGAGATGTCTACGTATTTTGGTGGGAATCAGTTACAGGCAGTCATGCAGAGGAAAATTCAAAAGCTTGAATATATTAACTGTCCCGGGCATTTATATATATGAGTGTTTAGTATTTCTATTCAAAAATAGGGGGAAATTCCAAGCCTATGAATCAAATCATATTTATGGTACAAGAACGATGGATTTTAATATCCCACCTCACAGACTAACCCTAACAGAAAAAACTCCAATGTACTCGTGTATAAAGTTTTACAATAGAATACCTTCAAAACTGAAAATAGAACCCAGCCTTAAAAAATTCAAACAGTCAGTTCAGGAATTATTGATTGAAATAGAACCATATACCATAGATGAATTTCTTGGTTCAAGTATATTTTAATTCAGTGTCAGTCAGTCACTTGTTTCATTCATTTATTTTTAGCTATTGTTATTATAATTATCTATATCTATTTTATTTGCTAACAATGTAATTTCAATCTGTCCGTTTTTTTTTTTCTAGTGTATTTTAGTGTTTTGTATATCAATCAAATGTCTTTATTTTACTCATTAAGTATGCATTTTTTAACATGTTCGTTTTTTAATAGTGATTTCAGTACCTTCTTCTTTCTCAGATGTTCGTTTGTTAACAAACATCATATCATTTGACGCCAGTTCATTTAATTGTATTTATGTATTGTAAATGTATGAGTACACTTCTTTGAATAAAGCTATCTATCTATCTATCTATCTATCTAACGTTTGATAATTGCGTTATTCCTGAAAGATATATACAGGGTGAATATCCGTTTCGCATGCGCCCTGTACAACCGTCCTAACAATTGTGAGGAAAGTAGCGCTAGTAAAATGACGGACATTTATAAATCAAATGGGGTGCATTGCACAATGAACATGTTCCGGTAGTCTTGTTAGCATTAGCAACTAAAAACGATTTTCTTTCATTTTCATTGGTGACTCCAGTGCCGTACACTGAGATTTCAAAAATGTTACAAGGTTTTTGTAAGTAGGTATGTCTGAAGATTCATAATTAATTTCAAAAAGCTTAATGGTAGCAGGATACAACTTTTCAATTACAATATAAAATAGTACAAAACTCCATGAATCTACAGGTAAATTCAAATTTCTCAATCCATCCAAATTTTCATGAACACATTCGAGTAAATTACGTAAACCTGTAGCCGATTCAGCATGTGATTTAGGAAAATCCATTATTTCCTGCCAATAAGTACTAGCAATAAGTCGGGGATTTTGAAATCGGTCAACTAATGTTATGAACGCAGTGTCATAATTGTTATTAGTAATTTTGAGCGAATTGATGCAAGACAAAGCTTCTTTCGATAAAGACGACAAAAGATATCTAAATTTTTCAGTTTAGCTCGAAGTACTATTATTATGGATTAATGATTTATATAAATCTAAAAAAGCTGGCCATTCTTGTAAACTTCCGCAGAATTTAGGAATATCAATCTTTGGTAATTTCACATTAGGACTAATGCTAGGAACTGTATTATTGTATTGTATAACTGTATTTGTTTTCTCAAACAATCTTGCATGTATTTTTTTAATCGAATAATATTTCCTATCAAACCCGTCTGATCACATGCTCCGTATATAGATTGGTGCCTTCGATGGTTGCCAAATTTCCAGTTATTGACAAATGACTATTCTGAAATTCTGTAAATATGATATTGGTATCTTGATATCGCACTCTGAATTCTTCTTTGATATCATCATCAGTGATAGCAAAGTCGGCGCATTCTTTTATTTCATCTAAACGTTGTAACCAAGTATCTCTCACAGCCCGATCCTGTTTTATTTCAACCGCAGCCATAATACTCAACCAACTTCAAAATTGATAGCGCATGAAATCGTTAACAAAACAAGATTGATAATGAGCCTAAATTTAGTTTAATCTTTGCGAGAAATTCCCACAATTCGAACAATGCATCAATAACTTCGAATACATAAAATGAAAGTGATTTTGTTATAAGTACGAATAAATAGCAAAATTTGTACCCCAGTAAGCAAATTTCACGAATTGAGTAATGATCCAATGTTGGTTCGGGCGTTCGCTTCGGATTTGAAATAATTACAATAATTATTTTCTTTATCAATATAAATATCTGAATTTCATCGATACGCCACTGAATGCCAATCATCCACGAAAGTATCGATAAAAGACCCATTAGTTGGGAATTGTAAAAACAGAGTAAAAATCGATATCGAATTCAAATGATGTTGACTCAA